GCTTTGTTCAAAAATAAGAAAGAATTATCCATAATAGAACGTAAAAATTTGAATTTCTTTATTTTACTTGATTTACGATTTCCTTAACCAGTTTGAGATCCTCCCTGAGATCATTTCTTGTACTGACTACAAGAGGATCTTGACCAATTTTACTCAATCTTTCTGCAGCAACAGACTCCATTGTTCGGCGCATTAAAGGATAATTGTCCAGAACTTCAAGAAAACTTGCTCTGTCTAGAGAATATACATTGCAATATGTTTCTGCGCGCACACTTGCAACACGACGAGCATTTGTAAGCAAGCAGATCTCTAAAATTTGTTTGTTAAAATTATAACTGATATTACTATAACCATTCAAAATGCAATATACATAAATTAGCAATTTGCCTTTGTTGACATTATTAAGGCAAAAGCGAAGAAAATTTATACAAGATAAGTTTTGCAATGTTATACTAGTAATAGTAGCTATATCTATATATATATATAATTGTGGTATAAATCCTAGTAAAATTAGACTGGATTTATCTAAGTTATAAAATAAATATTATTAAAGATTCGTCAAAAATGTTTTTATTACACAATGATTTATTCATTTAAGAAAAATTAAATAATGTTTAGGAAATTATTTGCACAAAATTTAGTAATTCCTATCTACTCTGGCCATTTTTTCACTTTGTGCTTTAGGAATTTATAAGAAATTTAGATTTGTATTGTATTCCTTTTTTATAAGTAAATAAATAAATAAATAAATATATACGTAATATAATGAATTTTAAAAGTATCCACCATGTTGTTTCCTTAAATTGTATTAAAACGATATAACTTTTATATTGTATTATTAATCTTTACAAGATGGTGTGGTCTGTTGTGTGGTCGCAGTCTCCTTTCGTTGTATAGAAGTTGCTTGACGTTGTTTTCGTAAGTCGCTCATATTGGTAGAAAGACTTAGAGGAACTCACCATGTCCAGAGTCCATTGTATGCATAATTATTTCCAGAGTAGGACCTTGGAAGTAGTACATTCCCAGACGTTTCGCCAGCATCGTCAGTGAGTCTCGCGATTCATAGCCTCATATTACAACTCTTCTAAGAGACTAGTAAAGCCGATCCTTTGACCGAACGTGTGCTAAACAGTTGTGGTATTTCCGTTCTGCCCTTGGCTATTCACATTTCCTATATCCTCTTATCATGCTTTCCCTGTCACAATTTCTGCCGTGCTTATTTTTAATGTAATGTGGTGCGCTCTTTCGAGCGGCTTTCATGAAAACCCTTTACACTCCACACTGTCCTTATCACCCTCTTCACCCTTGCACCAAGTCCACATTCCTACACTGGAAATGATGATGCATACAATGGACTCCGGACTAGGTGCGTTCATCTAAGCCTTCCTACCAATATGACCATGTTGCGAAAACAAGGTCAAACAACCTTTATACAACGTAAGGAGACTGCGACCACAAAAAAGGCTAAACCATCTTGGTCTTCATACCTTCGATTAAACAATGGAATTAAGATTGCCAAACAATGCAATAATTACAGCTGGACAAAGAAGACAATTGTAAGTCAATCCTGCCACTTGGCCTTTTTGAATTATTGCTAACATTATGGTATCGTTCCCCGTTTCTGCAATCTAATGAGGAAGTTTCATTCAGACACAGTTAATGAAATACTTAATCACGCCTCCATTCAAAAATTAGAGAACAGTTGCGAGACTGAGAGGTGTAAGCTATTTAAGTTCATAGATCTTAAGTCTAGATTAAGGAAGAATCTAGGTATGTTTCTCAAATCTCCAGAGTATGACAGACCAAAAGTCACAGAGGGTCAGGGATCTGATAAATAAGCAGCATGACAGAGCAAGACCAAACAAACCCGGGCAAATTTTTATGGTTCTGTATTGAAGGCATCAACTGCTACAGATAATGATAAGACAAAGGTAGTAAACCTATCTTTAATCCCTCTGGATTCTGAAACTACAGATCCCTTAAAAAAGGGGCTTCATTTTTCACTAAGTAATAAAGGTAACGTTATTAGTGATATTCTGCTGAAATTTGTCAAAATAGCGGATAAATATCCATAAGATACAAGGCGGGAGATGGAACTGGAAGTAATCTTACGAATCCTGACACATCAAGAACCGATAAACAGGAGCGAATTGGCTGGTATATGAAAAGAATTACAAAAGAATGATCAAATAGTTCATCAGGTGGATAAGGAAGGGGCGACGGTTATAAAGGACAATAAACAATAGATAGAGGAATTGAAAAGTATCCTTGGCGACCGAAAGACTTATCAAATTCTAAGCAAGGATGCAACCACGAAGATCTACGGTACACTAAGGAATATGCTCAAGGAAATGCATAATAATGGGGAGATTAACAGATGGATGATTAAATCTTTAATAAAAAATGAGGCAAGAACGCCGACAGCCTACGGACTACCGAAGATACACAAGTAAGGGAATCCTGTAAGACTAATAATCAACAACAAGCATGAAGCAATGCATAAACTAGCGCAATTAATTTGCTTTAAGCTCAAAAAAGAAAATGACAAACTTTCGAATACCGTTAAGAATTCATATCAATTTTCTCAAAGGATCCAGAACATTGCGTTGGTGGGCTCAGAGCTATTGGTGAATTTTGATGTACAATCCATGTACGCAAACATCTTAGGCGCTAAGATGGAGATATTGGAGCGAGAAGAGGACATCCTGGAGGCAGAACGAATACGAAAATAATAGTTAATACGACTGATCAAACTGACAGTAAGGACCACATATTTTACATTTAACGACAGTATATACGAGCAAATATTTGGAATACCGATGGGATCTCCACTTTCACATCTTTTAGCAAATGTGTACATGAACAATTTGGAAAAGGAATTCATGAAGTCACCACTGCAACCAAGAGTGCTTATACGATATTTGGCTGACTACTTTGCACTTTAGTCACATGCTAAAAAAATTCTAAATGAATTCCCAAATTTTATTAATTAAATTTACAATGGAGGTGGAGGAGGTTGAAGAGCTACTCTTTCTGGATATTGAAGGAGTTGGATAAACTGCCACCGATTTGCCTTAGTGACGGATGCCCCAGAGCATGTATAGAAAAAAATGTAGAGGTTATAAATGGCAGATTTTAACTCGGATTTTATGAATATCAGATCAGGAATCAGGAGGGTGACCAGAAGTTTATTCGCCCAACATCATCACAACTAAGCCATTAATTGCGACCGTTACTAAGGAAATGGAAGATCTGGGTGATGAAAAAGAAGAATAAAACACTTTTCACAAGTCTGCCGACGCAACACGTGAAGACAGACAAACTTGAATGCTCGGGGGTTTATCGCATCAAATGCGGCCACTGTGAGCAAAAGTATATAGGTGAAACAGGAGGAAAAATCGGCCTACGAATCAAGGAATATCAAAGACTTTGCAGGAACATGGATACACAAAGATCCGAAATAGCGGAATACATTGCACGAACGTGGCCTCAAATCGACTGGAAATCGACCGAAAGGTTGGATGCATGTGGTGAAGATACAAGAAAACGCAAGATCCGAGAGGTTATTGATATACTGACTGAGAGAAATCTAATGAACAGGAGACTTGAAGAAGGCAAGATCAGAAAAAAATGTGCATTTCGCCAAAACAAACTAGAAGAAGATCAGGCAACAGTAAGATCAGTAAAATAAAGACGGATGGAACAAGGTAATATCATTAATTTGAGGAAAAGAGATCGCAGGGGGATGAGAAAGCAACAATCAGAAGCACCTAGGTGACGTCTTCAGTGAGCCTGATCAAAACAAGTAGAACCACAACATTTGGGGGTTGCCACACAAACGACTAGGACGTAAGAGGCGATGGACATGGTATTACAGATAGAAACAGAAGATACGAGGTGGAGACTAAAGCTGTTTGGCTAACAATAGACGTGTTTGATTATAAACGTGATCCTGGAATCACGACTATCGTCAGCCAACTAGCTCTAGCTTCCATTGTTGCTATCCTCTTTTTATCTCAATTACTAAGTCTATGACTTCCTATGCCCTAGCCTCTTGTGTGCCAATCCACAAACGTTGTCGTTCAACATTAAATCTAATCAAAGCCAGCAGTACCACAATATTTGTGGGTTGCCACACAAACGATTAGGGCATGGCAAGTCATATACTTGGTATTAGGGATAGAGACAGGATAGACGAGACGGCGATTGGAGC